TCAATTAATTTTTTTTACACTCTCCTGGACATAGTGATAATGAGTTTCTATACAGTAGTATATTTCGAGTTAAGCTTATACTAAAAATATCGAAAAGTAATCAACTTTGATTAAGCATAACTCAGAAACTATTTGGTAAAATGCACTGAAACTTGGCAAAAGTATCTATCAGGTGCTTAATTAATTTTGTTGAAAGTTTCGTGATTTTCTTGAATAGTGTCCAGTTAGAAGATAAATACCTTAAAGATTGTTCGCTTGTTTTTTTTTTTAAATTTATGCCAATTGTTAGCTATAATAAAGAGATAGGATCATTGATACGGAAAATAAATATAACTACGTGACACCGACACAGACGGCTCATTGATAAGAGTGAGTCATTGATAACGCGTCGAACACCTCTAACAATTAATCAAATAGATGATTCCCGAACGATTCAGCCGAAATTTCAAAATTCTTACTTATTTAATCAATGCAATTAATTGATCTCGAGCACATTACTTGTTCTAAGTTGAACAAGTTTAAATTGAAGATGAGTAAAATTATTACGGATACAGCACGTAACCGAGGGTAATAGAAAAAAATTAATCTCTGAAGTTACAACAAGGCCGGTAAGAAGTGATGATAAATTAGTTAAGACGTGGTTATCAACAAACCAGCAGAAACGGTGCTGATACTACTGCGAGGAAGGGCAGGCAGGGACGTTTATCAAGGGGTAGGTTAAATTATCGGGGCACAGGGGCGGGTTAATGTTGCGTACAGTGACCGGTGGAGCTCTGTGGCAGGCAGCTTGTCTACCCGGCATGTGCGCGGGTAAACAGGCAGCGTTTAATCGGCAACGCGTCGAATCTCCGCAAACGTGACTTTTCTCGCGTAACTAACACTGCGAGTAAATAAGCTGCTGGATACTGCCAGACATACATTACTAGCGAGCCATGGACACGAGCCGATCCAATTAAAACTCGTCTGCCTCTTGTAACAATCGAAAAAAACCGCCTCGTTGCACTTTTCAATAATTACATCCGTAATGGGAATTTAAACGAGTAATTAGAGATATTCCTCGTTCGTTCTCCTTGTATCAAGATAAGACACGGGTTATGGTTCACTACTGTTTTTGAAAGAGAACCGAGTCAATTTTAGGAGAAGCGTCTGAAGTATGACATTACGTGATTTTCGATGGAATTCATGAAACTCAGTTTCCTTTCGGCTAGTCGATTTAAGGATGTATTGGCTATACAGTCAATCCCAAAAGTTTATGTGCCTTAGAAAAACGCATTTCCTATAATTAAAAAGAAATCAGACGTCGGAAGAATAATGCTAATAATAAATAGCTACGGGTTAAACAGTATAGAAGGAAATGTCCAATTAAGTATTGACGCTGACGACAAATTTTTTTTTTCAAAATTGCGAAAAATGCTTCAAATAAAAGTTGTTTTCCTTCCAACGTCGATATTTAATGAGTTACATATGATTATATGGCATTTTATTGATGTTGACAAAATCCGACCATCCCAGCGTCGAAACGGCGGACTTTTGGAAAATTTTTTCGTTTTTCCTCAATAACTCCGAAACCCTTGGAGATACGGAAAAATTGCATAGGACCTTTCTTGTAGAGGACGACGAGATCTACAATTTCTGTATAAAAATTTTTCGCTAGCCTCAATATTTAACGAGTTATTGATGAAAAACGAAAAAACAGTTTTTTGCAAATTACTCGTTAACTATTGTCGCTAGCGAAAAATTTTTACATGGAAATTGTAGATCTCGTCGTCCTCTATAAGAAAGGTCTAATGCAATTTTTCCGTATGTCCAACGGTTTGGGAGTTATTGACCAAAAACGAAAATTTGGAAGAAATTGAAGGGGTGTACCC